CTTTTAGACTATTTGGTCCCCTTACATTTCATTTGGCCCAACCCTACTTTTTTGAGTCATGTCCCAAATTCCTAGCCGCTAAGACTGCTACCATGATTTGCTTAGAGTAAATTCACTTCTTTAGCAAGTATTACTTAGAATTGACTATGATCCATGCAAAAAAATAAACTTGACGTATTTGAAAACTTTGTAGTCTGGTGGTGGGAAATAGCTTGTGTTTCTGTTTTTTCTTGTCCTGGGCATTGAACCTGGGACCTTCACTCTGAGCTGTATCTCCAACCCTGTTTTGGTTTAGTTTTATCTAGAGATGGGATCTCACCAAGCAGCCCACGCTGGGCCAAAATTTGAAATCCTCCTGCTACCAGCTCCCATATGGCTGGAATGTACAGGCATGCACCACACCACCAGTCATGGCTTTCTTGTGTTTCTTTTATGGCAGCCCATGGTAGCACCAATCAATTAAAATGCATGTGATAAGCATGGCCCCAGTAGCTCATTTTTGTACACTGGGCTTCTCTCATTGTTACTATCACAGTAAGATCATGAAACCAAGAAGGACATTTAGAGATCGCCCTTAGGATCCAAAGCCAGAAGAGCTTGCCATTAGAAAGTTATCTGCTTCTGACTAAATCTTGATGTCATCTGAGACTCTGTTCCTACAGAGGCGGTTACCTGATAGGTTCCTTCATGGCTCTGGACTCCCTTCCAAATTGCACAAAGCCAGTAAGATAAGAAATTTTGAAAATGGAGAAAGGGAGGCGATTTGTGGCCTGGGATCCAGCGGTCACATGTGTTACAACTTTATCTGTCCTTTGGGAGCCCGATTATCAGTGTGGTTCTTATACAACCACTTAGAGGACTGTTTGACTGCCAAATGCTCATGTTCCTTCCATTAGACATCTAAGTCCCTGAGGCAAGATCCTTATTTTCTTGTCTTTCAGCCCAAGCAGATAGTTAAAAGTTAACAGTAGAGCCAACATGGCTTCCATTTGTGTGAGGTACAGTGGACAAGGCCCTTAGCTTAGGGTTCTTGCTACTGCACATTCTGGTAGAGAAGGCACTAAGGGGAAGAAGTAGAGCGCCTGCTGGAGTTGGAGCGTAGATCAGAAGCAGCTGCACAGGAAGCCTGCTACTTGAGCTGTGTAGACCTTTCCTTTCTGTGATCACCCGTGTCCTTGCACGGAGTGCACTTGGAATCCTCATCTTTGTATGGCCTGCTCTACTTTGTGTTTCATGCATGCATTTGTTCTTTATGCCTGAGCTCCTATGGAGCTGTACTCTAGTCCGTCTTTCTCTGCTCCCCTGTCATACTAAAGCCAGTAAATTTCAGTAGAAAAAAGATCATATGGCTCAAAAGAACATTGTTTTGCTCCTTTTTAATTTAGAAAGGTTTTATTTTCACATGCATATGAGCATAACATTTTTTAAACTTCATTTTTTGGATAAAAATTGGGCACTAAAATTGCTAAATATAAAATATTATGATTTTAAGTTTGTTTTCAGGCTTACCTAATGAAATAATAATATTAAATATGCTTCTAGATTGCAGTCCTAGATGTATTATTAATCGAGCATTGATTGTTAATCAGAATTGATACATTTTTAAATGCTACTTTGGGCATATGTTTCTTGTGCCCACATTTTGCAAATTTGTTAAACTTTAATTAAATTTTCTGGATTCAATTTCTCAATTTTCAAATTAGATTGTTCATAACACTGACTTCCCGGAGTTGCTATTTCAAACAAAGTGAGACAACCTGGGTTTAGTTCTTTCCGATAAAAAATGTTGTAATAAATATTAGCCGTTAACTTGATCACTGTTCTATCACTACGATTGCTAATGATCAAAGTTCTGAAATGAAAGACTGTAAAATGACCACAGAGTAAAGGTCCCTATCAGCGCTAGTGAACTGGCTTCATGCCTTTCTGTTAGTTCATGCCAATTTTTATCTTGTGCCTTTGTGTGTACTGGTAGTGCTTGTGTCTGGTAATCTGAACAGCTAATTTCACGATAACAAATTGCAACATAACAACCATTATTGAATTTCTACCATTTTGTTTACAGAAATGCTGTATTATTTCTATTTTTTTTTTTTTACTATTTTCGTTCTCTTTAAAAAATAAATACAAAAAAAGTTCTATCCCCACCTTTTCATCTTAACTCTAGCTATCCCATTTATACTTAATTCTATCTAAGAAAACTGGGCTGGGGAGATAGCTAAGTAGAATAAGCACTTGCCCAGCAAGTGCAGGGTCCTGAGTTCAATCGCCAGTACA